ATCCCACTTCTGACACCAATTGTTACGAGCTTGCGGTTCGTGACAATAAAAATTGCCGATAAAATTACCTAAATTAACACTTTAATTTACTTTACACAAATTAAAGTTAAAAACACTAATAATTAAACACACTTATTCACTTTTATTCCGCTCCGAAGCTTCGCTTGTTTCGCCAAATCAACACTACTCCCCTCGCATCTTGCAGCGCCTATATATTTAAATTAGCAAAGAAATATCCAGAATGTTCAAGTAAACACGCGGAAGGTACCGAGCGTTCGAGTTTCGACTAGGCGCTGTCGGTTGAGTAATTTGTGATGTCATTTACTCAATGCTCCCCTCGCTCTCGTTCCTGACACTAGATGGCGCTAGTGTATCGTTGACTGGAGCGCGTAACAATATCATAAAGTAGTTAATTATAGCACGAAATGGTGGCATTTAATTAAATTTAACATTGTTTTTTGATTATATCATGATATAGCCTGACCAAATCAACGAATAGAGATCGTTTGGCGATATTAACAACTAAACACAACATTGCTATTTCTTCATATTGTTATATCGTAAAATAATTTCATTACACATCGCTAGCAGCGCTGATAGCGTATTTTTGACAGAAGCAGAATTTTTAATAGAATATAATTTATTCCTAATGTATGTATTATATTTATATAAATGTTAGCGGCTTTGTTCTGTGAGACGGCACCCCACTCGCACCTTAACTTATTGTCGCTGTATAGTTTTTGTTTTTATAGTTTTAATCTCATAATACCGTCACCTACCTACTGGTAAATAAACTAATAATAATTCTATTGAATACTTTTTTTCTTCCAGCATCAAAAATTGTCAGACTTAAAATATCTAAACCAGTGTCGGGATGATTTATCGTTATTGTCAAAATAACTAACAGAACTGTGTACAAAAAATTGTGATTATGACAGAATGTCTTTAGTTGAATATGTTGGGTGTCTATCAGCATAGCAATATTTCACCAACTTCTTTTTGTATCAAAACCGATGTAAGTAATTGAAAATTAAGTGGATTTTAAGATTTTCATATCTAAATGATGGAATAGTTTGATTGACTAATTACAATGTAGATGGGATCAGCAATAGTGCAAAAGCTTATTTTCAGTGTTTATGAGTTTGCTTAAGCAAATACGAGAGCTGTGTAGCCCGCCGTAAGATTTCAAAGCACAGGAACAAAAGAGTTCGATTCCCGCGAGGCCCAATGAAACTACTTGTTACGGACGGCGAGTGGAGCCGCCGCCCCGTCGCCCCTTCGTACCTCGTTGCGCCCCCGCGCGAGTTTTGAGCCTTGGCGAGTGGGTTGGCATCCGCAGCTTTTTATTACCCTGCACTGTTATCAGGAAGATGCTGCCATCCATCTCCTGTTTCAGTTTCCCTTCTGTCGCCTCTTACGACACCCACGAGACGAAATGAGGTATTGGTTTCCATTTCGCCGCCTCTACATTGCTAATACTTATATTTCTACTCCCGTTCATGAATATAGTCCCTGTCACACGTTCATCGTGAATAGAACTAGATTTATGAAATTTTAACTTTAATTGAAGTAGTTTTAAAGATATTTCTAAATTGAAGCCAACGCGAGCGAAGCCGCGGGTAAAAAGTAGTTTAGAATATGTTTGTAATATGCTAAGGCAATTTGTAGCTAATATTACAATTCTTAAGAACTGCATACCCTACAAAGTTAAGTTAATGCTATATAACTCATTAGCTGAATCTTTTATACAATACTCAAGTAAAAAGTTATAAGATAGGCACCTACTTAATTGCTTTGTTTGTAAACACATAGATAAGTATCATAGACTTATACTATTAAGTATTACGTAAGTACCAAATTTTTTTACCTGATTACTACCCTGCTCTTGAGAATTAACACTCTTTAGAATATTTCCTTTATTTGATAACTGGGCCTGAAAAATAATAAATTTAATATATGCTCATATTTTATTACTTTATAAATCATAGTTCTTAGTATGTTCTTGTAGTTCTCATATATTGTTTGACTTACAGCTTTGTATTGAAAATAATCAGATTTACTCGAATCCATATTGTTATTTTTAATTATGAATGAATGAATTTATTTTCTCTTCACAATAGGTAAACTTAATGCTAAGTATTACAAATTTGCCAGACTGGTACCTAACTTGTGAGAAACTGGTGCCTGATGTAGATATAAAAACCTGTATTACAGGTTTATCTTATTTAAAAAATTTTAATTATCTTAAAACATAATCATCATACTTGATGCATATTTTACATTGAACACTTAAGCAGTCGCTAATGGGTCTAATGGACCCAGTACTTAATATTTTGCTTAATAACTATTCAAAATCGACGTTTGCAATGTTTCAGCTCTTAGTACCTTTCAACAATAGTGTAGCATGGCAAATAACGACATTGGTAGTCAGTTAGTTTAAAAAGTGTCACTAGAATGTTGGAAAGTGTGATTTTCGTTCAAAGAAGATATTGTATTTTTTTTTTATCTTAAATATTTCTATGAAGATTGATCCCTCTTTATTTCTTGTAAGTAAATACATTATTGTGTAAGAAAATATATTAGATTTTGTTGGAAATAAGTAATTTGTTTGAAATTATAACGATTAGCCTTTAACATGTCACAAAACTCTAGAGAAATTTAGTATATTTTTGAAACAACTTTTGTTTAAGTAAAAACAATAAATATTAGTATTTGTTTCAATTATAGTTTTCTTTACACATATCATATCCTTATTAGAAAGTAACTATTTACGTTTATAAAGCAGTTTTGGAATAAACTTATATTATACTGGGTCCGGTGGACCTAGTAGCGAGTACTTGTGCTACAAATTAGGACATGACTCCCTAAGTGAATTTTCATGCACTGGGCCTATGCCTTATTTTGTTAAGAGTAATTGCAAGTTAACAATCTTAATTTCCAAATTTCGCAAAAAAGTTTAAATGAATTCCACAAATACAATGTTTTAATCATAAATGTTTATAAAAATATTTTTTAATATGTAACAGTTTCCCTGTCTACAAAACACACAATAGTTAAACAATTGAAATGTTCATATATGATTCATAGGGCAGGGAAAGAGATGATAAAAAATATATGTAGTTTTTTTATAAATATAAAGTAAATATCTATATTTTGGAAACTAACTAATATTATTTATGTCAAAATATGCATAATCAGTAATGTTAAGCATCAGTAATCACTTCTTCTAAAAGAACTACTAATCATATTTGCATAACAAACATTGCTTGTTGTACAAGTGTAACAAAACTAGAAACTTACAGCCGGAAAAATTGTTGGCACTGCATCATCACAAAGCCTAACTACATCAAGAGTTTTATTAATAGATTCCTTTGCAAAATGCAGGGAACATATGAAGTTTTGTTTATCTGTTGGGTTGATATTTTCTACACCAATAGAGTCAAGCCATATTTGTCTTTTCTTTTTGTTCTTTGGCAACCTAGAAATGATAGAACAGAAAATAATGATTTAGATCTATGAAGCTGCAAATAATATTACAAATTAAACAACACCATGGTTGTTATAAAAGGTGACTTAAGGTAAATTATAAATATGTATATGCTAAACATTTATGTATATTGCATTATTAGAAGGCACTGATGGGCTAATATATACAATATATAAGTAAACAATATATAATAAAGTCAAGTAATAATGTCCATAGTCTGAGGTATTTGCATGTTTGCCTACAGAGAGAGATTACTTACAGGCGCTAGATTGTACTTTATGTAATCTTTGTTGCTTTGCTTCACTTTTATTATGTAGGTACCGTAGGTCCTACCATGAATGTAACTCCGTTTCCGTATAATTTAGTTAATCATTTATGCTCACTGCTCAGACCCATGACACCGAAATAATGCAATGCATAACGCAAAACTTTTGCACATAATACGACAGAATAAATCAAGAAAACCTTAATAAAGTATGTCCTTGAAAGAATGTATTGTTAGCAATGTAACATCACTATTTACGAACAACAAAATTTTATAGATACGCAAAGAATGATAAGAAGTAATTAAATAATATGAATTAAAGGTTTAGGGTAAATAATTACATCCATCTACTTACTGTCGCAAAAGATATAAACGTTTTTACATTATATTTACACCAAAAACTAAATCACTCACCTATGAAATGATAGTTCGTGTGATTTTTGACTATATTTTGAGGTACAGCCTCTTACGCAACACTAAGTCATCTTCGTTCTTTATAATGAATTGGAAAATTCACTATAAACTGTTTAAAAATTCGCAAAATTTTCAAATTAAGAAATATCAAACGACTTTTTATAGCAGCAAATCTGAGACAATAAATGGCGGAATCGGCCGCAAGGCGGGGTTAAATGACGTCATCTTAAAAATGTTTACCAGAATGCGAAACAATTTCTATTATCTGTTTCATTTATGAATGACACTTAGACTTACACTTCGCTGAGTGAAAAAGAGATAGGCAGCATATTGACAGTTCAGTGTCGAATATAACCATATTTGTATAATCAATAAAACATATAGACGCTCTGGGCAGCTCCTCTATTTTCTATGCTCAAAGCTTCTAAGTCAGTGTACAGCACAGAGTACTTTTTTATATATAGCAATGTCTTTCTGGTGTACAGAAAGACATGCCTGTGGCCGTAGACAGAGAATGCTAGGATTCTCTGTTTACGCCTGTGGCTCTGTGGTAAATTCGTAATCGCACAGACTACTAAGAGGATATAAGGTAGCTTGCTACATATTTTATTTATCCATGATATAAGGCTAGAACTAGAACCCAGAGCCGTAAAGCCAGTTAAAAAAAATTATCGTAATCGTAAACAAATAACAACAAACGACAATTTATTTTAATTTTACTTCAGTTCTTTATAAAGTTTTTATATTTTTTCTCTACAAATATTTATATTCAAGGGTTAGACTACTCTAACGGAGATTTATAGTTAAATCGAATTACTACTTTTTCATGTGAAGATGAGTTCAAAAAAACGCATGTCCCAAAAGGAAACGCTTACAAGATCTCAAATTAAAAGACATAAAAACGCGGAAAATACTACTTACTTACAAAAGGTATTAGAAGAAAGTGGCCTTACATTGAAGCAACCACCAGAAAAATCCATAGCATTTCAGGAAACAATTCACATTATACGCAATATTAAGAAAAATCTTCAAAATCATTTTGACTATCCCAGAAACGCATTAGAGTTAATTTCTAATTTGACAAATAAGTGCCAAGATATGAATGTGTTTAAACATTACTTGTTTCCTAATATCGTAAGGTCAGCGGACGATAGTGCCAGTGAACATATGACGAGTGATAGCGTGTTAAAAATATTACTTAGTGTTCCTATTCTGCAAAGCAAATTAATTGATTACATATTTTCAAAAGCAATGGATTTAGCCGTTGATTCACAGTGTATGCCTTGGATACAAATGATATTAAAATGTATATCTTCTTTAGACAGCATTGTTAACAGTGAAGCCATTGCAAAGCATCTCATAAATTTATTAGACATTTCAAACGAAAAAATTGTACGTCTTGAGATCATAACAGCTATTCCTGATATTTTAGGTGACCAAGAACACAACAATGTAGCTCTAGAATTGTGCAGAATTTTAGGAGAAGATCACGATCTTATTCCTGCTATTTTAGACTGTGTCTCTTATCTTAATCTTTCTGATGAGCAACATGAGCAAATGCAAAAGAAAACATTGAACATTCTTTTTAGTTTATCCAAGTGTAATTATTTCCCTAATTTTGTAAAGATTTTGCTTATTCCTGGTCGAATGAACGAAACAGGTTATTTAGAAGCAGTTCTAGGCTTAAGAAATGTGTTAGGTTGGCCGACATCATTGGCAACATCACAAGAGATTGCTTCAAGCCAAGTACTTACTGCAACAGCTATTAGAAATTCAATGATATCTTCAAAACTTGTTTCAAATGCTTGGTTGAAAGCTGTAACTAATTGTAAAGAAAGTACTGATCACAAATCAATTGATTTTATCATAATACTTATTTTGTATACAACTTCAGAGGAGAGACAGAGGCAACTAGAAAATGTATTAAAAAAACAAATAAAATTAAACATCTTAAAAGAAGATTTGATGGATGAAGTATTTGAAAAATATAAACCAATTTTAAAAGATTATTTAAAACATTTTTGCCTTATGACAAATACATTACTAAAAGCTAAAGCTGATCCAATAGTTCAGTCGTTTGCATCTCATATATATATGTTGATGCTATCACATTTGGATGATTATATTCAAACTATTGTTGCTGAACTCCTTCAGCTGATTTTAGATTGTAAGCAGTGTGTTATGAACATACTCTTGATATTAAATAACGTTGCTTCTAAAGATGTATCATTATTAAAGCCCCAAAGTCTCCAAATGTTGACACTTTTGGACAGAATGGATGATATGACACTGGCTGAAGTAAGAGCTGTTATGGATTTGGTCTGTGCTCTTGCCTACAGCTCTGAAAACTCTGTTATTCGAGATGATATTCACATGGTTATTAGAAAGGAATTGGGCAGTTCTAGCATTTCTATTAAGATTCAAGGAATACTTGCAGGTATCCATGCCGTAAAATATTTAATGTCCACTAACTCTAATGAACATCAGATGTTAGATCTACCTGATGATATCAGCTATGGTTCTGTATTATACTTATCAGAAGGTGATCTTCGAGAAGCTGCTCAAATAATAGAACTTATAAGTCGCAGTACAAGACAATTTCCTGAATTGATTGCATTTTTTTATGATGAATTATGCACTGTTATAAATTCAGCAAATCAAATTAACAAACATTTTTTATCATGGTTGACTGATGCTGTAACCAATGACTTACAACAAAATTTTATTGTTGATTCAATTGATTCCGAAAGAATAGGTGAATTAAAATTGTCAATGCAATACTGTTTGAATATGGAGGGAGAAATGGATGAAGTAATAGCAATTAACATAGCTGGATTGGCACTTAAAAATGAAGCGGAAGTGAGTGTCGCAATTTTGTCTCCATTGCTTAAACTTGTTCAATCACTGCATTATAAGCAACATGATGGGAATCTTTCCAGCATTGATGCATTGTTGGGTTGCCCAATTGTTATGCCTAAGTTTAATATTGATGAGATTGAAGATATGGAAAATAATACAGTATGTCGTATTTTGGACTGTTTGCTTTATTGTGTGAATTGGTTTCGAGAATTACTGAATGCTTTTGCAACACAAAGTGATTGCAATCTGAAAGAAAAAATGATAAAAAGAATTCTCCAGCTAGAAGATATGGAAAACTTGATATGTCAAATATTGTTGATAAGTAAAATCTCATATAAACCACCAAACTGTATTGTCAATTCTTATTTAACATCCAGTTGCTTAGATAAAAAACTTACAAAAACACAAAGTTTAAAGCATAAGGTACAACAAAAGTCTGCGCAGGATGATACAGTTTTACCTGAAACATTAAAATCACAAGCAAGTCAACACCATTCTTCAGTTAAAAGTCAACTTAATCTAACTCAAACTTTACCGTTAAGAAAATTAACTTTAAACCTACTATTCCTCTTGAACACTGAACTGCAGAATGCAGAAACAGAAAATATATTAACAGTAAAATCATTAAAATTCCTATTGAAATCTACTAATGTATACCTAGAACAAATTTTGGTATCAAAAATAAAAAGACATACATTTTTATCCAAACAAGAAGAGCCTTTAGTGTATGATGGGAAGAAAGCAGAAGAATGTGCAGTGTCCATAAGTAAAATCCTTCCAAACTTATTAAATCATATCAGTTTCATAACTAAATACATTGAATATAATGTCCTCTCTAGAAATGAACAAGAATTATCTATTGTAGCAATTGAACACCTAACCTGTTTGGAGAATGTATATAATATGTTTACAATTTACTTTAAATGGATTGGATTTAAAAATCAACACAGTGCCTTACTAAAGTCTTCATTAAGGACAATAGCTGGTGCAGAAAGTAATATGTTGTCATTAAAAGATTGTGTCTTGAATATTGTCAGATTTTTTGAAAAACATGAAAAGTATTGTCTTCAAATAACAACCGCTGTTTCCCTTGTAGAATTTCTAAGGACTCTTCAGGAATATTCAAATGATACAACAGTTTCAAAAACTTTGAGAAATATTGCCTTAAACTTCTTATCCCAACAATGGAAAACCTCCAGTGGAGTAGTAGAAAAGGGAATAATTTTCAATCAGAGTGTGGACATCTTAGCCTGTACATATTTAGTAAATAACGAAGTTTTAGCTTTAAAAACAATAAGTCTACAGTTGGTAAACGATATTCAGTTTCTAAAAAGTAAAAATGATACTTTGAGCACATATAAATGCATCAGTAAGACCAACTTTTCAGTTCTATACAGAAATCTGGGTAGTGCTCTATTTGAAGTAACAAAAAAAACTTTAAATAAGGGATTAACAAATTTGGAGCACTTAGGCTTATGGAAGGATGTCACAACGATTATGAAATCTATGTCTGATATATGCAAAACTCTAGAAAATAGAAATACCCTATCAGTATTTTTTAAAAAATCTTTGCCATTGATCAAACTTTTTATATCACAAGGCCTTCCAATAATAGAAATACAATTTAAAAATGACACCCAAGAAATACTTGAAATTTTAAAACTTCTTCAACAATCAACACGGTTTTTACAATCTTTGTGTTGCCACTCAAGATTGAAGAAAGATGCTGTATTGATCAGCAAAGTTCCTTACGTACGTCAGTTACTTGAAACTTTAATATATAAAGTGAAGGCTGTTCTTGTAGCTAATAACTGCTCCGAAGCATTTTGGATGGGTAATTTGAAAAACAAAAACATTCATGGAGAAGTAATTCAAACACAACAGAGTGTTGTAAGTGAAGAGTCTGTTGAAGATTGTGATGATCAACTTCCTGAAGATGAAGATAATGAGGATAGTGATGAAGAAATGCTAAATCCAGATTCTAAAAGTATCAGTGATATTGTATGATTAATTTTTGTTTATTAAATGCATACATAAAAATAATCTTTTTAAATTTTATTCTTAAGTTTTTTTTCCTAATTTTTCTAAAATGTTTATGATTAGATGAAACAAACATGTATATTAGTGACTAAGGAGATTAATCCAAAGAAAGAGAAAGATTTCGAATAAGCTAAAATTTAATAATTATTTTAAATTGTTATAACTTAAAACCCCTTTTTCATTTAAGTGGTACAAACGAAACGTGTAGTGGCGGTTATGAATATCCAATACCCCATATCTTCCCGTGAGTGTCGCAGAAGGCGACAGAGTGCAACAGGCAAGAGATGGGCAGCAGCATCTTCCTGATAACAACAACTGTACAACAAAAAAAAAACTGCGGTTGCCAGTCCGCTCGCTAAGCGTGGAAACTATGGCAATGTATCCCCCATGAGCAACGATACAAATAGACCGCTATTTCCTGGCTACGGTGGCGACCATAATGAAGGCGGGCCAGGGGTGCTAAGAATCTCCGGTGGAGGTTCAGTTGCCACCTAAAACGAGTTGACTGGCAACATACGACGCACGCACCCTGATGACTGACCAGAAGATCCTGGAGCTGGAAGAGAAAGTCAAGTTGAGCTGGAATATTATAGGATTATCTGAGGTCCGAAGAGAGGGGTAGGACACGGTGATACTTAAATCGGGCAACTTGTTCTATCACCGGGAGGGCGACCATCTGTCCCAAGGAGGTGTTGGAGTTATCGTTCACAAGTCTCTCGTTAACAACGTTGTAAAGATTGGAAGTGTGTCGAGGGTTGCGTACCTTATACTCAGAATCACCAAACGGTATTTGCTGAAGCTCATACAGGTTTACGCACCAACATCGTCACATCCCGACGAGGAGGTGGAGGAAATGTATGAGTATATTTCTAGAGTAATGCATTCCTCCAAAACCCATAATACGGTGTTTATGGGAGAATTCAACGCAAAGCTAGGCACAAGAAAGAACGGTGAGGCGAAGGTAGAGAAATTTGGGATGAGGCTACGGAACCCAAGGGGCCAGCAGGTGGCCGACTTCATGTAGAAAGAGGGACTATTTGTGATGACCTCTTTCTTCCACAAGCGGCCCCACAGAAAGTGGACCTGGTCGAGCGCCGACGGTTCGACAAAAAATGTAATTGACTTCATTCTGACGACCAGACGCCAACTGTTCAGTGATGTCTCAGTGATCGCAAGGTTGAAAACTGGCAGCGATCACCGAATGGTTAGAGGCACACTGAAGAACCTAAACGTTAAGTTGGATAGGTCTCGTCTAATGAAGTCAATGGTCCGTCCCCTTCGTGCTCTAATCCAAAGCCCCGAAACCTTTCAGCTCAAGTTACAAAACCGTTTTCAGTGCCTAGAAAATTGCAATGCAGTGGACGATATGAATGACAAGTTCGTGGAAACTGCCCATGTGGTCGGAGCTAAGTTCTGCAAGATCTGCCGCAGAAGAACATAAATACTTTCCGATCACACTCTTAATCTCATGGCTGTTATACGGGAAATGAAGCTGCATTCTTCAACAGATTTGACAACATACATACAACTGAACAGACAGATTTCCAAATGCATGCGGCGGGCTTTACGCAACTTAAATACTGCTCGTATTGAAGAAGCGATCGAGCGGAACCAGGGCTCCAAAGTCTTTGCCAGAGATCTGTCTGCCAGTAAGAGCCGGTTCAAGATCCGACACTATTCCGATGATATCCCGGACGTCAGTCTGAGCGAGATTAGAATGGCTCTCCAGCACCTTAAAAACGGCAAGTCCCTGGGCGAGAATGGAATTACAGCGGAGCTTCTGAAAGCGGGTGGTAAACCGGTACTTGAAGTCCTTCAGAGGCTCTTTAATTCCGTCCTCCATGGTGGCACTACTCCGGAGGCGTGGAGCAGAAGTGCGGTGGTCTTGTTCTTCAAGAAAGGTGACAACGCCCTCTTGAAGAACTACAGACCGATATCCCTTTTGAGCTGCGTCCAGTTGCTGTTTTCGAGTCATTACGAATCGTCTCGCACGCAGACTCGACGACTTCCAGCCACCCGAACAAGCCGGGTTCCGAAAAGGCTAATTTAGTACCATAGACCACATACATACCCTTCGGCAAATTGTACAGAAGTCCGAAGAGTACAATCTGCCACCTTGACTGGCGTATGTGGATTATGAGAAAGCCTTTGATTCCGTCGGAATTTGGGCGGTGCTACAGTCTCTTCAGCGGTGCCAAGTTGACTGTCGGTATATTGAAGTGCTGAAGTGTTTGTACAGTAGGGCTACGATGGCTATCCGAGGACAGAACCAGAGTACGAAACCTATCCAACTACAGAGAGGTGTAAGACAGGGTGACGTTATTTCCCCGAAACTCTTCACCGCTGTATTGGAAGACGTTTTCAAGCTACTGGACTGGAAAGGATACGGTATTAACATCAATGGCGAGTACATCACTCACCTTCAATTTACCGACGATATATTCCTTATGGCAGAATCGCTGAAGGACTTAAGTACTATGCTCAATGACCTCAATAGTACTTCCCAACGGATAGGTCTTAAGATGAACATAGACAAAACAAAGATCATGTTTAACCTTTTGACCGCCAAAGTCGCCTATACTTGACCAGCACCTGCGTGCCCTGAGCGCCAACGACGTCTATAGTTGACAAAAAACCCGGCCTACAAAAATATGAAATATAGACATTGGAAAATTATTACTGTTATTTTAATTATACACTCCTCAAAAAAGAATAACCCAGCAACATGTGAGTATAAAAAACAAGTTTCCTAGAGCCACAAGTACCAAGAAACATTGAACTAAAAAAATGGATTTTTATCTAAGCAAATCCTATGTCCAGCACGCCAAAGTCGTCTACGTTTGACCGCTAGTGTTACGAGGGCGGCACTGAAAATTTCGGGAATCAAGGAAGTGACACAACATTACTATTTAAAAATATATTTATTGCTTTTCGAAGTATACTCCGCGAAATTTGACACATTTTCCATACGATGGAACCAATCATTGAAGTAACCATTCCATTCGGAAGTTGGGGTCTCCAAAATGGCTGTTTTGTGGGCGTCCACAGCTTCTTCAGGTGATGAAAATCTCTCCACGCAATTTATTCTTTATTTTAGGGAAAGTATAGAAATCATTAGGGCTTAGGTCGGGGCTGTACGGCGGATGGTCTAATAATTCTATGTTTTCTTACTCTAAAAACTCTTTTGTTCTGTGTGTGGTGTGAGAACTCGCATTGTCGTGGTGAGGATGATGCGGCGGTTGCAGTTCTCTTTACGGAGTTCAGAAACGACCTGTGGCAAACAAATGCTAGCATACTATTCTGTATTAACCGTTCTTTGTCCCTCAAGTTTTGAAGACAAATGTGGCCACCATTTTTTTTTGCGACACTCCATGAACGAACAATTTTTGTTGGCTTTAACTCATTTTTAAACACTGAAACTCGTGACTGGTTTTTGTTCGGGTTCCTACGCGTATATCCAGGATTCGTCACCTGATACGATGTTGTATACAGCAATTGAGTGCGTGCTGCGTGGAATCTTTCGAGAGTTCTGACGCACCAAGTAACGCGAGCCGCTTTTTGCTCTTCACAGAGCGAATGCGGTATCCATCGGGAAAACAACTTTTTTACACCTAATTGTTCATGCAAGATTATTTTTATTTGACTCATGCCAATGTCTAAAGTTGCCTGAATTTCGCGGTATGTCACACGTCGATCTTCCTCAATCAGCTTACGCACAGCATCAACGTTTTCTTGGGAGACTGCAGTTTTTGGACGACCTTGACGGGGATCATCACTGAGCTTGACACGTCCACGTTGAAATTCAGCAAACCAGCGATAAATTGTGGTTTTGGATGGAGCATGAAGCCCCAAATACAGAAATCATCCGGTCAACACACTGTTTTTGTGTTAAACCACTTCGAAAGTCATAATAAATCATCGCTCTTGAATTTTCTCGAGTCAATTCCATTTTGTCAACGAGTAAACAAGTTTGACAAAACCTTGTGACAAGACCGAGAATGTTTTTTTAAATAAATAAATGGTACTCAATTTTTAAAACCAAAGAGTTTTCAATTAAAAAGATTTTAATATGACAGGAACAGTGGAAATATTCCATTCCCGATACTTTTAGTGCAGCCCTGTATAATGCATTAGGCATAGATTTATTGAAAACTGTTCAAAGTTAAACGCAAACGTGTTATTTTTTAAATTATTATTGATATTGGAATAAAACAAAAGGTAAAAAACATATAACTATCATCAGCTACATAAATAAAAGAAAATTTCATCAAATCAACTTCGCATAATAAATCTAATATCTCAACTCTGGCACATCTGCTTAGCGCATTTCATCGATTATCAGTGCATTGGGCGCCGTGGTCAAGAATAGACGACACCTTGATGACGTCATAAACGAATAGCGGAAAAAGTAGTGCAGTGCAACATGAACGATTCCTCAGAACTCATTCGCATTTTGGAAAGCGTCGATAATGATGAATTTTTTATTTTAATAATATAAAATTACAAATAATTAATGTTTATTTTTTTTCTTAAGGTATGAAGAGCAAGTTTTCATTTTGTGTTGTGCGATTTTCTTTCTCAATCTCAAAATCATCCGGTAGCATCTGCATCGTATCAATGAGTCGATCTCTATAACAACTATAGACCAATAGCCCTATCGCTCACCTTTTCAAAGATTTACGAAAAAGCAATGTGTAAATTCTTTCCTTGAAAAGTATGAATTACTAGATGAGCCAAAATGGATTCAGAAAATCAAGATCAGCTACCCTAGCTGTATTTATGTTCATACAAATGACCCTGCAAAATTTAAATCATAAAAAACATACTTTTGGTATTTTACTTGATATGACGAAAGCATACGACAGGGTGCCCTATGATAAACTACTTTTAAAACTTATGAATTCGGGTATCCGCGGGCCAGTACATAACTGGTTCAAATCCTATTTAAATAATCCGGGGTAAATAGT